GTTCAAGCACCATATTTATTTATGCACCATATACCACCTATCGGAACTAGAGTGATATGATTGCTTTAATTTAGTACTGTAGTACAATGACGTCAATTTTTAATATTCAATCATGTATTCCGTATTAAAGCCTACAATATTTAGAACGAAAGAACTTTATACTTCAGTGTTTGTTTGTCTTGTATCATGTGTGTCGTTCAACGAAACCAGAACTTAATTTAAAATAGAGAGATATTTATCAGTCTGGCTACTTCATAATTTGATGCTAAATTGTTGAAATCTAGGAGCTTCTGTGCTTCCCCATGGACCCTCTACCAGGGCAACCGTAATTACGTCTCCCGTTCATAAAATCCTGGCCGGGGACTATTGAAATGTTAAGTAACGCCTTATACCCTAGAATTTGGAATTTCTCGTTATTGGTCTACTGCTGTTAAGATCCATCCAACCATATACAACAGACAATTGTAATAGAGAGAATTAGTCATAAAAAATGTCAAACCCTGACACTTTAACTATAAAATATACATGCTCCAAGTCAGGAACCGTTACATTAGTGCATATCACAGTTATTTTATGTTTCTTAGCAAAAAAAAGGTCCAAAAAAATTTTCGCCTCGCTCCACTCTGCGATAATTTTTTTCTACGCCCCTCTTTCAAATATTCTAGACTTTGATCGCCCCTGCCTTATACTATATACTAGAACATGAAGAATTCAATTCCATGGTTGAAAATAGAGCGAGAGAAACATTTAACAAACCCCAAACCTTATACAGAAAATAATTTTGATTTTAGGGTGTATATTTGATAAAATAATGAAAGAAGGTCTCCGGCATGAATGGCACAGTTTATTTTAGTCTCATTATCAGATTACTGGAATGACGATGATAATTACGAGATGCACCCCGACCGGTGGCAGAGAAAATCGATGTCAACGATAGACGATCACTTAGACATTGCCTCAGAACAGACGAGATACACCCTGACCGGTGGCAGAGAAAGGAGATGTCAACGATAGACGATCACTTAGACATTGCCTCAGAACAGTTGCTCTAACTCCACTGGTAGAATAAGACACAATATCAGAATGTAATATAATACATGTTATTTTACAAGTATAGCGGATGTTGTCAGTTAGACTATCTAACTCGCATTTTCAGAAAACTGGCATACTTAAATTAAGATATTAATTTTGCCTGTTTACAATTTCATAATAGAAACGGGATTATAGAATAACCATTTAACAAAATACAATTATAATTCTTACATAATACATAGAAATAATTTGACAGATAAAATCAAAAGTTGGTCAGTTCGTACTGAGACTACTATAATTTGTTTACATTCTTACTTGGAGAGTGAGTACATTTTTCCGATTTTTTCAATAGTTTTATTTTTGTTCGGTTTCTCACCATTGACATTTTACTCCTCGGTTTCATATAGTTTAAATAACGGTCTTCTGTACCTTGGACTATTATACTAACTAGATATAGTCTATCAATCTTTAATTGCGAGTGAAGGGGTGTATCAGATAGTTATAGGTAACCGATGTATTGCATTCAGTAGCACAAATAAAAAAATCCATCCATGTTAACTTTTTGAAATTTTGACTGGCTTTAAAAAGTGTGTACAAAAAGGCAGTGGCTATTTTGCCGGCAAGGATCAATATATAACTTATTTTCTTTTTGACTGATATATGTTTTTAAACGATTATATGTATCTCAAATATTGTTATCTGTTTTCTTATTTAACTACCGGTATATCAGTAATTATTTGATTCTTTTATGTTGACAGTGCACATTCTCGTAGTACTTTTCCGTGAAAGTAAATATCTTTCTTTACAAAGAACCGGCAAAATACAAATTAACTATATTGTCGATGCTTGTAAAATAGCCATTTCTATAGAAATATTCTATTTTGCCGGTTCTGATTAAAATACCTTAGCCGGCAAAATAGCATATTTCTATAGAAATGGCTATTTTACAAGCATCGACAATATAGTTAATTTGTATTTTGCCGGTTCTTTGTAAAGAAAGATATTTACTTTCACGGAAAAGTACTACGAGAATGTGCACTGTCAACATAAAAGAATCAAATAATTACTGATATACCGGTAGTTAAATAAGAAAACAGATAACAATGTTTGAGATACATATAATCGTTTAAAAACATATATCAGTCAAAAAGAAAATAAGAATTTATAACAAGAAATGGAAATAAAAATATTGAGCATCCATCTGTTGTAATGAAATCATATCATAACATATGTAGTTGAAATTAATGTCTAAAATCACAGTTTAATGCTACATATTTGCATAAGAATAAAATCTTAGATTTTCTAACTGTATGTTATAAAAAAATAAAAGTTAAAAATCTCTTTGCATCATAAATTTGATAACACATTATACAATATAACAAAATCAATCAAATCAAAAATGTTTGAATTAAATTTGCTTTTGAAATCATAGTCAGTTTTTTTTAATTGAATATGTGTAAACAAAATTGTTTTAAACTTAGCTTTCACTTACCTAGAGCCGGAAAAATTGAATAGAATATTTTCTATTTTTCCAATAGACAATAGACAATACTTTATTATTAAACCTCAGACACATAGGTGTACAAGAGGACATCATATATACACGTATACACATTTTTATACTCAATACATTTACACTAAACATAATAATGCATGCATGCATGGTAAAATACAGCAAAATGTCAATTTACAAGTTACCATGACATTCAACTCAAAAAAGACAAATATAAATCATAAGTATCGTGTAAGTATTTTTAAAAATATTGCTAAGTTTTTGTAAAGTTCTACATGACAAAATGTTAGAAGCTGTTTTAATTTGTACTCCGTTGGATTTGCAGTATAAAATTCTGGTATATATTTATTTCTGAGCAGTTTTATTTCCTGTTTTTGACATTTGAATAGATAATGAAATCTGGAAAAAAGATCAAGTCATCCCATTGTAGTCTTACAATTGTGACTGAAGACCCCTTATCATTATTTAAAATTAGTTTTCAAGTTGTGACCATTTGAAATTGTTTTTTTTTTTACATTTTCCCCATAAACTTCTATAGTAAACCCCTATGTTCTATTTTTACCAATAGGGACCATGTTGGTTGTATGGCAGGGTCATCGGATACATTTTTTCATTTCCCCATAAACTTCTATAGTAAACCCCTATGTTCTATTTTTACCAATGGGGACCGTGTTGGTTCACGGTATGGCAGGGTCATCGGATACATTTTTCAATCAAAATACTCTAATAATAATTGTGGCTTAGTTTAATTCCATTTGGCCAAGTAGATTAAGAGGAGAAGATTTTTGTAAATTTACGAAAAATAGTGAAAAATTGACTTTAAAGGGCAATAACTCCTTAAGGGGTCAATTGACAATTTTGGTCATTTTGACCTGATGAACATTTTAACCACGTTAGATTTGCTCTTAATGCTTTAGTTTCAGAGATATAAACCAAAAAAATGCATTTTACTTCTATGTTCAATTTTTAGGCATGGCGGCCATCTTGGTAGGTGGGCGCGGTCATCGGATACATTTTTAAAACTAGCTACCCTAAGGATGATTTAGGCCAAGTATGGTTTAACTTGGCCCAGTAATTTCAGGAGAAGAATTTTGTAATGGAGCTATCATTTGATTTTAGGGGGGGGGGGGGGGGGAAGGGGGGGATGAAATTTGAAAAAAGGCTGGACAGAAGTTTTGAGTTAAAAAAAAAAGGCAGGATAAGCAACTTGGCAAAAAAAAAGCAGGATGACAAATTATGTATAAAAAGTCAGGATAAACTAATAAAAAAAGGCAGGACCGAATAAAGTGAAAAATAAAAAGGCAGGACCGAGATTACAACTAAAAAAAATGCAGAACACAATTTTTCATCCTAGCCACCCCCCCCCCCCCCCCCCCATAATAATCAAATGGTAGCTCCCTAAAAGATTACAAAAAATTACAAAAAAATTGTGAAAAATTTACTTAAAAGGGCAATTACTCCTTAAGGGGTCAAAAGACAATATTAGTCACGTTGACTTATTTGTAGATCTTATTTTTCTGAACATTTTTGCTGTTTTACAGTTTATCTCTATCTATTTTAATATTCAAGATAATAACCAAAAACTGCAAAATTTCCTTAAAATTACAAATTTAGGGGCAGCAACCCAACAACAGGTTGTCTGATTCGTCTGAAAATTTCAGAGCACATAGATCTTGACCTGATGACCATTTTTACCCCATGTCAGATTTGCTCTTAATGCTTTAGTTTCAGAGATAAAAGCCAAAAACTGCATTTTTAACCCTATGTTCTATTTTTAGCCATGGCGGCCATCTTGGTTGGTGGGCGGGGTCATCAGATACATTTTTTAAACTGGATACTATAGACGTATTTACACTTGTATGCACATTTGTCCGCCATTACGTAAAGTCACACAGGTTCCCGTAAACTTTGACATCATAATTCAAAACATTAAAAAGTGATTGTTGTCTGACGTCAAAAGGTGATTCGGAGTAGATCTAAGGTCATTCGGAGGCAAAATATAGTTAAATACCAAAAGTGTAAATACGTTTATAAGGATGATTTAGGGAGCTACCATTTGATTTTTATGGGGGGGGGGGGGGGGGGGGGGGGCTAGGATGAAAAATTTTGTCCTGCCTTTTTATTTTTCCCTCTATTCGGTCCTGCCTTTTTATTTTTCACTCTATTCGGTCCTGCCTTTTTTTTTTAGTTTATCCTGACTTTTTTTTTTACATAAATTGTCATCCTAGGCACCCCCCCCCTCCTATAAAAATCAAATGGTAGCTCCCTTAGGCCAAGTTTGGTTTAATTTGGCCCAGTGGTTTCAGAGGAGAAGATTTTTGTAAAAGTTAACGACGACGCCAAGTGATGAGAAAAGCTTACTTGACCCTTTTGGTCAGGTGAGCTTAACAGATTTATTATTTGTTATTATTCCGTTCAGGTCTTTAGTGTCACCCAAACTAGCAGTCACGTGATATTGACATCCGGTTTCATGCTAAAATTGACAAAAAATGTTGTGGCTTTGTAAAGAACGTAGACGGGGGCTGTAAGTATGATACACTCACTTGATATGTTGTCGGTTTAAAAAATCATCAGTTTCATCTTTGCACCATTCAGATGCCTTTGGCATGCTTCTGTTTCCGACTAACCATGATCTATCAGATCGGAATAAACTAGAACTCAGGAGTCAGGGGCTCGTTTAGTGAGTCAGATAATGTTTTACTGTAAGTGGCGGTGGCTATCCTACACAACTGGTATTTTATATGGGAAAACCACCGTCATTAATAGCAAATCCTCATCTGACCCAACAAATCGAGCTCCTGTCACGACCTGTTGTCTGGAAGGCTATAATTTTTCATTGATGTTAGACTTGTTTCATGTCTTCTGGCAACTTTTGGTCTTTTCTTTGTGCATTTCTGACCATGCTAAAAGGTTACTGCTTACATGAAATAGATAAAAACAATAATTCCAAGTGGTGAAGTTGAAATCATCTCTTCAAAAATTAAACAGACGTACGCCATCATATGGATTTACTGGTACATTTTGTAGATACATGTACCTCCGTTATTCTGAGCACCCCTCAAGAGCTGTGAGGGTAAAATGGAATCAGTGTATACTCCCTCAGTGTTCCCGCCTGCCCTAAATAGAAGGGCGGCCCGCCCTTGGTGCCCTAACCCCCGCCCTTCTGCCCTCCAAAGTAAAAGAATGCACCCCTCTGCCTTTTCAAAAAAATTTCATGCCTACCGGCGTTTCCGGTAAAATTGTTACCTGATTGTGTAACACTAATTAACTGACAATGGGATTAAGTTAAATACCTAGTGCTTTGGCAGTTTTATCACCTTTGTTAATGATTGTTTACTGCTAATTAGTGGATTTAAGATAATTGAACAAATACTAGATATTTAATACAGAATGAAATGTCCACATGTTGTCCATTTGTAATGTTTATGTACAGCATGTACACCTGAAAAAATTTATCTCAGTAGGCATAACACAAAAAATAAAATCTTAAACAATTTTAAAGGCATACATAGTTTTTACTTTATTGGTAAAAAATGTTTTGTTTCATAACCATGAGTATGAAATTTAAAGAGGAATCAAAGAAATTTGTACTTTGAACATAACAAGATTCACTTCCTGTTTTTAATACTTCTTGTATTTTATAATCCTCCTGACATAGGAGCACTCAACAAAGTTATTTTTAACAATGATGGAGAAAAAAGTAACTGTTTATACCTTCTGCAATATATAATTGCATCAATATAAAATATGATTATCTCCTGTCTCACCTGTTATATTTATAAAACTCCTTACTGAGGAGCACTTTGGTGTGCACTTAAAAATAATTTTTTGTAACAATTCAAATGATAATAAATAACTCTCAATAACATATATACTATATGTTTGAACAAGTAATTTAAAAGTAGGTAATTTAATTACATTCAACATTCAATTTTGCATGTATAACTCCATCTTTCAAAACTACTTGTTTATTTTGGTATAAGTTATAAAACATTGAAATTTCTGATGATTATTTTCCATACCAAATGTACAAGTTTGTTTAGATTAACATCAAAATGATATGCTTTGCTTCATGGTATAATAATTTGATGGAAAAAAATTCTTACTGGAACCAACATCAAGAAAACATTAATTTCTGAATATGGTTTAAATACAACTAATGTTCTCCAGCTGAGCCTTGCAATATTCAAGGTAATTTAATACACTGTCCAACATTGCCCTTGAAATCTGGGTTATAACGCTAAAGTGCCCTTTCAGACAACTAGCACCCTTCTGCCCTGAGATTCAAGCTGGAACACTGTCCCTATTGGGATTAATGGAGATGTGTCAATAACGTATTTACATCAATATTTACAAGGACGATCCCCACCCCAACACAAAGGGAGTGCTAGGACACCGGGAAGTCTGTTATTATGGTGGAGGAAGCCTTAGTACTTGAAGAGAACCACCGGGACACTCAGCAGGAACAGACAATCCAAGGAGATATCAGCAGATTGATTTCCAGGTTAAAGTAGGGGCCAACTTTGACCAACCGAGGCCCCGAAAGTACCCATTCTAGTTTGATCTCTGGTCTGGGTGCCAGAGAAGTGTGTGGGAGAGTGAAAATCACCCTTCTGATGTACTGAAATTTCCACGCCCTGAGTCAGAATCAAACCCAGGACCTTCAGCACTGTAGCCATCGGTCTAAACCACTAGACCACGAACCCCTCATCACCAGTTGACCGCTATGGAATATCTGTTTCAAGGATGATGACTGATATGATCCAATTGTCATAACCACAATCACTTTTCCTAGGTTTTGATATATTGAATTAGAATTATCACCGGGTTTGCACTTACACGAGCTATACAATGAGTGCCACCTGTGGAGCAGGTGCTACATACCCTTTCAGAGCACCTGAGATGGGCTGAGATCACACCTGGTTTTAAGATAAGGCTGACACAGATTTGTTTTCTTCAATGAGTACAGTTGACCTTTTTATTTGGCCCTGCAACTTTTAAATATTTGTTGTTCCAATTAAAGGCCCTTGATGGGTAACATGACATAAAATTTATAAACAGAAAACAATTTACTATGATTTGTAACAAAAAACTAATTTTTATATTGAAATGAAATATTAAATGTTCATATAGTTATAGAGCTACATGTTCATGATGTACATATATATATATTTCTTTATCTTATATAAATCATGTACATTTTATTCCGGGCAGGACCAGAGCCATCAAATCATTACAATAATCATTGTGATGTACGGCATGTAACAATGTTTTTACTTGGTTTTACACATTTATATATAACTTGATGATGATTTTCAGTATGAGGCAAGTTGTTGAAAAAAAAGAACATCACTGTCAAGAACAATACCAGTGGAAATATAATTCCCTGTACCCAAATTTTCAGTGATATAGTCTTTTGTTTAAAGTAGTAAGTCAGCTGTATTTGGGGTATAGAATGTAAGTTGCGCATTTCTGTTTGACACTGACAGAGTGTACCTGATCTTGACGACTTAATTGATTAAGTGGGAAAAAAAGGAATTATGAAGATTCTGCATGGACAAATGCATATATATGTATGTAAAACGTACACAAAATAAAATCAGGGCATTTTTTTCATTTTCTTGTATTTACATAAAAAATTAAGGAGATGTGTTACCATGGTTACAAAATGTACATGTATGATTGCCAAGGAGACAACTATCCACCAAAGTTCAAATGAAGTGGATATGAACAATTATAGCCTTGGCATCCGTGCAGCCTTCAACAATGAGAAAAACTCAAAATATATACATATTGTCAGCTATTAAAGGCCCAGCATGTTTATTTTCCTTATTTAAGAAGCCTCAGGCCTCTGATCATGCTGATATAGAAATGAGTATAAAAATCCATGTAAAAAGTGAAGTACATTGTACATGTATTTCAAATTGGTAAACAAAATTATTTTCTTAATTCACTCTCTTCAACTGAAAAATAAATCATTTATGTACTCTTGACTTCCAATTTTCTCATGACACCCCAATACCAACCATGAAAAAAGTAAACAAGTATGTCTCAAATATTTGCATTGAAATTATTTCTGTATTAATAAAGACTAAGACCATTATAGAGACTGTCAGGTGCGGTGACCATCTTCAAAATTTATTATACACATAAAACACAAGAAGACAAATGTCTTCAATAGTATGCACCACAAATGGCATCAGTTCATTCAAATAACATACAATCTCCAAAAAATAAGCGCATAATCAAAATATGAATACTACATATATAATGCACGAACTGTTATACTGAAGATTAATCTTCCTATACACAAATATGTTTTACTCGTTAGATGGTCTCCGCCCTTGTCGATAACTTTTCTCGTGCACGCGCGACTTTAATTACTGATGGAACTACTTACTCTATTGTTATTACAATTAGCCCGCCTTCTATACTCGCAAATTCATACGCCTGCCGTACATAAATATAAATACTTTAAACAAAATCAAATTTAAACCATGCAGTTAAATTCCCCTTCTACTCTTGTCCTGTGTTTTAATTTTATGCACTTGTACTTTTACTTTTAATTTATGATGTTTTTCTTATTAGCATTACCCTCAGGCCTTTCATCCTAAATACATATAATATAATTATTTAACTTTTATTGTTTTCATTAAATTTCTATTTTACTGATTTTTCTTATCCAAATGTCACCTGTAAAATAAAGATGCATATGTTTGTCAGTTTGTGTGTTAATGATCTACTTTATGCAAATTTACTCTTAAGTCACACTGTGCTGTAAAGTAACTTTGCAGGTATATATACTACAAATATAAAGCATAACTGTCAACCTGTGGTAGTGAATTTCACACCTGCATGACAACTTGTTAATTAACCCAGCAGGTAGGAAGATTAAATTGCCTTGAGTCAATAGATTGTGACCCCTAATAAAAGTCTGACATCTTATACCAGACATAGAGGATGCTGTTGATTTTTTTATCACTTACATTTTTTGTAATGTTGATCAGGTGGCATTAGTGCCATTGAAACGTTTTGGAAAATCACACTAATTTTCTGCTCTGAAACTATACATGTACAAATAAGCTAATAGCTACGCATTTAATTTAGGAGATAACTGTAATTTATTTCTTATGCAGCAAAAATACTGCAATCTTATTGGTTAATTACCCCGGTGTAAATAACACCCAACCCTTGTTCACCCCGGGATAAATAAAATTTTGCCAAAAATAAGAAAATAAAAAATTTGCCAAAATAAAGAGAAAAAAAAAATGTCAAAAAATAATAAAAATAAATAAAATTTCAAAAAAAAAAAAAATAAATAAATTTGAGGACAAAAATTTTATTTAAAAAAAAAAAAATTAAAAAATATTTTGTTTTCCCGAAAATTCAAAAGAACAAAATTTTTTTCTGAATTAATTTCCCAAAAATAAAGAAAAAAAGTATTTGACAATATGCAGCAACATCAAAGTTGAAAAAATGTTACACTGGAAATTTTTCTTTAGCATTTTTCAATTTTACATCCCT